GATAACGTAGTCTCGTAGCCACAGATGAAATCGAGCCCGAGCGTAATTTCGCGCGCGGAACCGTTGCAAGGGAGCAGACGTACAAATGACGATCCGATCCACCCTTGTTTTCTGTCCTCTGGCAACCTGATACCGATAGGCAGCCGCCCTCCATCCCCCCATTCAACCCCGGCCGCTGATTACTCTTTTATCCAGGAAACTTCGCGTTTAAAACAAAAACCGCCTCAACGAAGTCGTGGAAAGGGGGGGCGGAAATTATGGTTCTCGAACGAAAGTGCGCTCATTTTCCGTGGTTGCGTGATTCAAACCGAGGAAAAAAATGGGATAAAAGGAAGAACACGGCCGGGAGAGGTGGAAAATTATTGCCGTTACCGGATGACTGCCTGCTTGATGTTTCCTTTCTTCTTTTTTTTTCCTGCTCTTCTTTTTATCGAAACACGTTCGACGCTGAAGATTTCGAGATTGAAACGGATTTAATAACGGACACTTGAACTGGGTTAATGCGACTTATTGATTGCAATATTTAACCACTTAAGGACGTATCTCGAGTTATCCCGTTTTCGATTTTATGGAAAATATAAGAAATATATTATATTCGCTTGATTAATCCCTTGCCGTAGTTTAAGGAATCTGCCTCGTGATAACAATTTTGGCCCAAACATGAATATCGCGAGTCAGACGTGGAAGGTGGCCTTGAAAAATCATGAAAAAAAAGAGTTGACCAAAAATTTGCTATAATCACGTTAAAGCTCTCTTGAAACCATGATATACTTGATAACAACATTTTCGATCGGACTGCTAATAACAGAGTAATCTGAGCATTATCTCTCCTATTCACTATCATACTCAAAGTTTCATTCGATACCCCGAATTCGCCAGTGAACACGCAATTCGGGTTACCGTTTATCGCCACCGTCTATCCGTCAACGTCAAGCTAGACCATTTCTCCGCGTTCTCAACGAAATAGTCTTTTATTCGCGATACCAACGACATCAGTCGCTTCGCGCAGAAAAGTTCACCTGCAGCTCATGATTTCGATGCATATCGCCCCTTTCCGAGGACCGAATGCTTTTGATTAAGATTCTGAAGGGAGGGAAAGGGCGTCAGCCGATGAACCGAGCGTTTGTGTGCGCGGCGGATGGATGGTAACAGGTCCCGACTAGCCTCACTTTGGCTCTTATTCAACGAGAAAATTGCTCGGTGAAATATTCACAGGGCGATTAACCGACGGTTAAGCCGTCCAGGTTGATGATGTAGACGTCTGCTCGACGGGAACTCTGTTTACCAGAGATCTCAGATTGGGAAATTGCGCTGGTTAGGTCCACAGTCGTGATATACGGTGCTCATGGAAGTGTATGTTTTTAATGAAAATTCGCTTCGAGATGGAACGTCGAAATTTTGGGGTGCAAATAGAGGGTTCTAGAGGAATACTTTTGGATACTTTTCAGTGAAATCTTGTTAGATCAGTTTTCGATTTCTATCGTGAACAATGACAAAATATGCAGTGAGGGAATTAATAGAATAAAACAGTTTCTATTTGAATCACTCTCTTCTGATGAATCTAGAAAAATCTCCATCGATCTACTAAGAAACTATTATCGAAACCTAGTAATGAACAGAATATTTATACCGGAAAAATGTGATACGTATTTAAGAAAATCGAATTAGAAAAAGGATAAGTTCGATTTGCTCGGGGTCACGAATTCAAAAGGAAAATCGGTACAAGAAGAGCCGAGTTTGTAAGAGAAATTTCAAGTCGAGAAATAAAGGAAGTACGAGAGTAAAGGAGTAAATAAAAGTTTCGCAAAAACAAGGAAACTCGGGGATAAAAAGCGAATCGGTGGAGTCTGTAATCAGAAATGAAAAGCAAGCTATCTAAATTCCTCTTATCCGGCGTGAGCTGCGCTTATTAACAGGCCAGAAGCCGCTTTCCTCGTTGGCATCGACTTGTTTTTCAAGAACGAACGGGGAAACTTTTTGAATTGGTCTGCGGGAACCACTTGGGATGTACTGACCGTGGATAATTAGAAGTTTAATCTTTGTTCCAAGAAGGAAAACGAATCCTCGTTTTCTCTTAAACTGACTGGGAATTCGGAACAAAAACCCCCGTGAGCCCGCGTACAAAGAGAATCCAATCAAAAAAACTCTGATTTTTTCTTGCTTATTTTAACTTTTTGCAGTAATCGTACAAGAGTTGCATTTTCATAACCTGTTTATATCGTGTTTCCAAGAACATTCGACAAAATGGAGAATATTTTGACCAAAACTGAGAAATATTCTTTGTAATATACAGGGTGAACCACGAATCGTGATCAGTAGAGATTACTCTGTTATTAGTAGTCCGATCGAAAATGTTTTTATCAGGTTTTAAGAGAGCTTTTAACGTGATTATAGCAGAGTAGAATTTATTTGTACCTCGCATAAAAAAACACAAGTACATAAACGAGTGACTTAAAAGGTAGTTGAATTAAATACTAAAAATATTGCAATGCATAGATATTATTGACTAACCGGAAGTGAAAATTTTTTGTTTTTTAAATTCTAATGATCGTAAAAGTTTGTCACGTGTCTGTAATGCATTTGTAAAGAATTCGAAATTCTTGCTAATGTTAGGCAAGTACTTTAAGTATGTTCGAAATAATTAAACTTGAATTTTTAAATATCTATTAGGTGTACCAGTAAGTGGTCCACTATTTTTTGTGAAAGTTTTGCTTTTTTTTTTAAACAATTCAAATCCCTGTGTTATCTTAACAGGATTCGTTATGTATTCCCACAATTCACCGTTATTTTAACTAAACAGAAGATCAGAAAAATATTCTGAATTTAAGCTATTCATGTTTCGAATTAAGCTATTGTATTTTAAATTGAGCTCTAGTATTGGTACACCTAATACACCTGCACTGCTGTATCTGCAACCGTTTGAATTTCTGGAGAATCGAGCTTCCAAATTCACAAAACTAAGAAACGAAACTGGAATTCTGTAAAAATAACAAGAAAGTTGCACGCAACGTTCCCATTTCCTAAATAAAATTCCAGGAGTTCGTTACGGCCGATACTTCCTCTAGTTCCCTTTGCTCGAAAACTTCGACGTTCTCGTTTCTCTTATTCCCCTCACCGAACCAGAAACTGGGTTTCTTTCTCAACTTATATTAAATCCGTAACAATAGTTCCAACCCCCGAAGTCGGTCAGCGGCCAGTATGTTCTCGAAAAGAAATCGCTAATCGATGCAGAAGAAGTTTCGTGTTCCAGTCGGCGTAAAAGAGAGAGAGAAAAAGAGAACAGAATAATAAAACAATGAGAAATAAAAGGAGAGCCGCAAGCTGTCTGAATTCTCGATGGGACGAATAACTTTTTTTCCAAACTTTCATTAAGCTGGAAACTTGGGTTCGCTTATCGCGTTAATGTTCTGTCGTTGTGTTTCGCAAGTCTTTCAAATTGTCGTTTGTAAAAAATATTTTTAATTCGCTCACGTTGTTAATTCTCTAATATTGTTAATTCTTTAATATCGTTAATTCTCTAGTAGCGTTAATTCTTTAATGTCAGTTCTTTAATATTCTCTAGTATAGTAATAATTCTAATATTGTATGATGATATCAATTTCATAATCAGACTGCAGATGTTTATGCAAATAACTATTGTCGACTACTTTGTAAATATTGGAATCGAATAGAATTTAGATAGCTCCATTAAACTTCCCATAAGATTCGACAGAAAATAGAAACCTCGGTAAACTTTATTAAAAGTTTATCTGTACTGATTATGAGTTTTAGATAATCGTGTATGCAATAAAATGCAGAAAATCTACACAAATTCTGTCCATTACCTTTTTGAAATATGAAGAGCAAGAATGTAATTTACATTGAGAAACTGATCGTAGGATTAGTATTTAGGGAGTATGAAGTATTAATAACAAATATAATGTTATAAAGAACTATAAAAAAGATAATAAAGAAGATAATTATATAAACGAAGGTTATATTTAAAATTTAATTTAATAACCGTTAAAAACGTGAGAGTGTCAATAAAAGTCAGCTCATAAATAACGAAACTAAAAAGAAGAAAGTACGCTTTGCAGAGCATGACATTTATATCTCGTTTGCACTCTTAACTCGCATGGGCGTAGTGTGTCTATTTATTCATGGTTTAAATAATCTCTTCTCTCTCGTTATTTTAAAATAAACCTTTTTATAGTTCAACTTCTTCCACGCAACTGGTTTCGAACGAAATTCAAATTTTCATAATAAATAGGTTGTGTGCGTTCATGCATATTAAAACATTTTATAAAAACCAAACTAAAGTAAATATTTAAATTTTTTATCTAAATTAAGAAGTTCTACGAAAAACACACTTTATTAAGTCTTAACTGATGAGATGGGGTCCGCGGAACCCGGATAATATTTTTAGAACATTTTATTTTGATTCAGTAGTCTATACTTGGAAAAATGCTTGTTGATTTCGATGTTTTCTTACGTAAGAATGCAAAACAACTAGTTGTGTAATAAATAGACTGCGGAAGTTATGCGAATACAATTTTTATAAAGTAATTTTAGAATTACATATATTATTAGTTTATAGCAAACAAATCAAATCGAATCATATTTATCTTATATACATATCATCATATTTATATTTATGACTCTATAAGATTCCGGATAATATGAGAACTTCATCACTATTCATTGAACTTTTTACTGCACTAAGTTTTAAACAATCGTGTATGCGACAAACTGCATAAAATCCGCAGTCTAGTAATAAGTAACACGATATATGTAATTAGTAATCAAAAATGAGATTAAATCATTATGTAGGTTTTAATTTTACAGTTTCGTAGTTGTTTTGTAGTTTATACGCCATAATTGCATAAAATCACGTCATATTTAATCGTGAACATGTTATACTACTGCATTATTCTGGCATATTAATGAGAACGGCAGAGTAAAACATAATTGGAAAATGAGGCATGTTTTAACGATAAGTACACTGAAATTGATTAACTTACCAAGTACGCCCAGGCGAAAATTGATGGAAACGACGATAAGGCGTCCATAAGCGGCCAACGCGGTTCCGTCGAAAGCATTCCCAGCGCCCCATGAATAGGAATCACCGTGAATTAGGAGAAGGGCTGGTAACAAGTCCGCAGTACTACCTGGAATAATAATTAACAATTATTTATTCCCTTAATATACCTTCGAGTTTTCGGAATATTCACTGTACAACGAAGAAAATTCAAATGGTTAGGTTGTTGCACATGAAATGACCCATTTTGTTGATAGATAGGTATACTTGACGTTACTTTTATGAATGAGAAATGTTAACGTAGCTCCACTTTTTGTTACAAAATTTCAAAATGTATTCTGCTCGTTTCATGGTACTATTTAACCAAGCAATAAAATCGGGCAATAAATGGGATATATGTTGTATTTTTTAATTATTGTATTGATGTTGTCTGTTTGACGAAATTTATTCAAAAACGGTTGACGCTATTTTTATAATAATAAATAGGAACAATTTTATCTATAATATTAATGCCGCGAAAAAGGGCCTCAGACAGTTATTGGGGATATAATAACCAAACCTGTAAACGTTGAACAACACTGAATATATTCACGGTATATGTATTTACTGGTCGAGAGAATTTTATTATAAAATTTTAATTGCGTTCATTAAAGCATCTCTTTTAGAGTTAATCGCACGAACTAAAGCCTTGGTAACTGAAACACCATATCTCATTTAAAATTCAACAAAAAGATCCAGTCGTGAATAAAACAACTCATTAAAGGAATGTAATTGCATATTGTCTGCAAGTAATATAAAATACCATTTTCCATAGTCTTTATACGACGTTTAAAACCGAATATTAATATAAAATGTGATTAATAGGTCTGCGAATATTTTTCAACATCATAGAGAAATTACAAATATTCTTTATAACAAATGAAAATAGAAAAAACATGAAATAACACAATTAATGGATAATTGTGAAACTTCATTATTTTCCGAGTTAACGATGTAACATTTTCAGAATGTATTCTAAAGACTTGGAACTCTTCGAATATGTAAAAGTAAAGAGTGATTATTTTCATCTATTTACACGTGTAGACGTAACCTTTACAAAACGGAAACACTGAAACCCTAAATATGAAAATGTCTCTACTTGCAAAGTATTAATTAATGTGATACTTTTTAGCGTAAGAAAGTAAATTTATTATTAATTATTAATTCATCCTGATTATGTTGTTAACGTATATGTTACATGCAGTGTAATAATTTATGTACTGTATTAAAGGTCTGATAAAAATTAGTGATACGGAAGAAATATTTTATCTTGTAGCCGATTTGTATTATGTCCTTAATGAGCGTTCACGAGAAGGTGTACCAAACAACTTTAATTTGGAGAGTACAAACCCGAATTAACTTAAAAGCAAGCCAAGCACTCAGGTGTAATTGCAAATAACGCACATAACAGGTCTGCGTTCCTGCAACAGATCACAACCAACCAAATATTGTCCTCCTCTTCCAATTTATAAATGGATGGCGCAAGGAGGCTATTATTCAGCACTGTGTATGCTGGTGTATCGAGTATATCGTTGCACAGACCGTGTATACAAATCGCGGGGAATGTACCTCGATGCATTTCGAGCACTAGGTAAACGTGACGCTGAAATAAAATACCGCTAACCTCTCACATTTTGCGAGATCCGGAATAATATTTTCGTTTCACATTCTATCCCATCTCGAAATCCATTTCGCATCACATTCATGTTTCACGCGAATATTCTACATAAATTTTCAAATTGCAAGAATTTTAAATTTAAAAGTATCAGATTGCTAACTTCTCAAATTCTTAAATATTTAAATTTCCAATTTTTTGAAATTTTAAATCATATAAACTTTTTAAAATTAAATTTCCAAATTTTTGAACTTTTGAATTATCAAATTTTCAAGTATTCAAACCTTAAAATATTCTCAACTTCTGCTTATCAAATATTCAAGTCTTAAAATATTCACAGCTTCTGATTATAATCAAATTTTCATATATCCAAATTCATCACCTAAAGAAAGCCTCAAAAGATCCTCGAAATTTGACACGTCACAATTGATCCGATTACCCACAACCTAATTTCTTTTGCCTAAAAAAGACATCAAGCCCCTTATAAATTTGACTCATCAATGCTGACCTATAAACTCGTCGAAGAAAAGCCACAAAACGAGTCGCCGATATGCGACCTGGCGACTTAAATTATTACAGCGCTTTACTCTGGTTTCAAGATATTTTCCCGCTGGACGCATTGGCACGTTCGCGATGCATGAAATCACAATCGTCCGCGAACGCGCCACAATAGCGGCTGCAATAAGCACACCCTCAGACAAGGCGAGACAAAACGAGACGTTCACCTGTTGCGAATTTTGACACGACGCCGCGCCGTGCTATCACGGCCGACCGGATAGGTGAGCAGTCCAGTCGCTTCTATCTTCGCGGCACGTCCTGTCTCACCATCAAGGATCCCCGGCCGAACCGGAGATCCTATCTGGGACGAAATTTACGAGTGATCCGGTGTTTTGCGTTAGCCCCGATGTCTGGACCAGCTGGCCACCCCTTATACATGTCAGGATATATGTATACATGTACAGTTTTGTAGACAGTTTGTGTTTGGAAATTAAGACAAACACGCTGGTTGTCAAAGACTTTATTATCGGATCGGTAATAAACGTGCAGGTTTTTCCGCCATCTTTGATTCAGAAAAGTGCCGGAAAAATTTGGGAATTTATGGGACATTTAGTGGCGCCCACTTGGTGGCGAAAATTGAAACTAATTCCAGAATTTCTCCCAAAACTTAAAAGTTTTAGAATTAATTATTTTGTTATTAATTATTATTAGGCTCTTCTCCATGAATATTCATAATCCTGATGAAGGTTAAAACCTAACCTAAATATTGTAACATGACGGTATTTATGGACTTAGATGATACAGTTTAAATTTAAAAAATAAAGAAAAATTTTTATTCAGTCGTTATGAATAATTCGGCAGAAGCTACGGGCAGAATTCGATTGACCAGAGCCCCAGGAAAGTTGGCAGTCTCAAGATCTTAACGGGAGATCTCGAAGTCGTTAGCGACAAAGGGGGTGCCTCCACGAATTTAAAAATATCCCGAAGGAGCCGACCGATCGCTCACGGAAAACGTACATCACCAGGATCTTCCTTAATTACCTTCCACGGTATTATGGAAAAAAGAATCTCCGAGAGGGAACGGAGAACGGAGGAGAAGGAAGACGAAGAACTAGAGAGGAACGAGAGAGAAACGGGAGAACTTTTCAGGAAGAATTAATCCCACCGAGCTCAGACCTCTTCTACATACTTACTACGTCTGCTCGATTTTATCAAATTACACGCCTTCAGAAATGAAAAAATCGCCCGGATACGTGCATTCTACGGCCGGAAATGATGAATCGGTCTATTTCTTCGTGATCAAATATTAATAGGGATTTTTCGACTAGATTTCGTGGGTTTTTTTCTTGATAATTTAGTGGAATTAATGTTTTTAGTGATATTACGGGGTAACGCCATACTGATAGGCCAAAAAGGATAGGACAACTTTGAAGGTGATTTTCAAGAAATTTATAAACTTTATAAATATTGTTAATAATTCAGAACATTATAATTTTACTCTTCTTAAACTTGAGTAAAAACATAGTGACTATACTTGAAAATTAAGGGGATTGCACATTATATTAGGTAATTGCGTCGTAGTGTTTTAGATGTACTATAAACCTATTTTTGAATTTCTTAGAAATATCAATTGTTTCTCCAGATATCGTTCCAACGCTCTTGTGAAACAGACAGTATCTGTCACCTCGGAAAATTCAGCAAAAACATATTACACCATTGTAATTCTTCTTTATTTGGCAATACGAGTTCTATGTCGTCTCCGAGATCTTTCTTCGTTCTCCTATCTTCCCCAGAACCTTGCTCCTCCTATCATCCATCGTTCTTCCTTGCAGAGATCGTTGATTCGCCGCGAGGCTGCCTCATTCCCGCGGTGCTTGCAGCTTCTCTCTCGTTAATCGAATAATCGACTGCAATGCACTACGGAATTGAAGAAGCAACGCGGACATATACGGCCAGCATCAAGGTCTCCCGAGCTGCTCTTCCACGTTTCTTCGCCTTATCACTCTTCATTCAGCTCCTCCTCCTTTTCGCGTCCGTGACCCACTGTCGTTCTCGATCAGTGACGTTCAATTCTAGCGTTACAAATGCAAAGAAGGGAGCCAGCAATTTTCTCTGGTTTTTCAGATAAGCCCGAACCTCTCGTCCCGTTTTCATTCCCCTCGTTCTCTCTGTCTCCACCCCTATTTTTCATCGTTCCCTTTGATGGTCAACGATATATTCTACCATGGAAGAAGATATGCACGCCTTGTCACGGATTGATTGTTACGGGAGGATCTACTACGGAGTACTCTACCAGCCAAAAGTTTCAAACCACTCGCATAAATATGAGATCGTTACATGTGAAATATATGATTTTATCGATTGGCATACAGTTACTCGCTGTAAGAAGTATCTATCCACTTTATATACGTGTATTATAATTTTCATTGTAGTCATCAACAACCGAAAATAGACTAGGTACAGTGGACTCTAACTATATTGCCATGGTCGAGGCAATAGGGGAGTAAAGTGGCAATGAGTTCCGAACCCCCTCCATGCTAAGTTCTATCGTCATTGCCTCGACCTCAGCGCCTGCGAAAAAGCTGGATCGTGCTGGTGCGCCGGCGTACGCAACGTTGTAGGAAGAGCGAATTCGTGTGAAAATACGTGTGAAGGGGAAGTGCCTCGCGTGGCAATCTGCTCAGTGGCAATATACTTAGAGTCCACTGTACCTTCATTTACAAGAAACGTTCACGTCAAAACCAGAATTTGCTCGAGTAAGACCTTACTATTTGTATTTTTGCATCAAGCATATAATATTTACAATAATATTTTTAAAAAGTAATTCTTAACAAATATTCAAGGAGTGACGTGATGCACTTTCCAAGAGAAATGAAGTCTAGTCATGAATACCATCAACGATCCCGAATTTTTGCGCGGTGGAATAGCAAAATATAGAAATAGAAACGTGGAACGAGAAAGGGGAGACATAAGGAATT